TCATGATAGTAAAATAGGGCATTCTAAGTCAATATACTGCAGTATTTCCTCTCTCAATCAGTAGAAAATATGGTTAACACCCGGTCATGCATGAAAAAAAAAAATACCGTCATGTACCGTGAAACCGGTATAATTTTGAAAAATACCGTGATATAAATTTTTGGTCATACCGCCCAGCTCTAGTATTAAGTATCATGAACTAACAGTGACCAATACTTTTACAACATTTAGCTATTCATCTTGTTTAATGTGAACAGTTACGTTTCGGTTTGGTAAGATTTTTTAATGTTTTTTTGATAGAACTCTCTTCTGCTCACCAAGGCTTCATTTATTTGATCAAAAATACAACTGTAAATTTGTGAAATGTTATTACAATTTAAAATAACTGTTTCCTATTTTAGTATATTTTAAAATATAATTTATTCCTGTAATCCAAAGCCGGGTTTTCAGCATCGTTACTGCAGTCTTCAGTGTCACATGATCCTTCAGAAATCATTCTAATATGCTGATTCAGTGCTCAAAAAACATTTATTATATCAATGTTAAAAACAGTTACGCCGCTCAATGTTTTTGTGGAAACTTTGATAATATAATATTAACAATACAATACAATTTTTTTGAGATTCTGTGATGAATAGAACGTTTAAAAGAACAACATATATTTTGTAACATTATAAATGTCTTTACCGTCACATTTGATCAATTTAATGCATCCTTGCTGAATAAAATTAATCTTACATTTTATTTATTTATTTTAAGCATAAAGATTAATACAATTATGAATCTCAATTCTTAAAATAAATAAATCGTACCAAAAACTTTATCATTTATAATACATTGCTACACTCTAAAAAATGCTGGGTTGTTTCAACCCAACTTTGGGTCAAATATGGACTAACCCAACTTTTGGGTTAAAAATTTAATGTAAAAATGTAACCCAAAAGTTGGGTTAGTCCATATTTGACCCAAAGTTGGGTTGAAACAACCCAGCATTTTTTAGAGTGTACACTAGTGACAAATAATATGGACCATTTTTTCACACAAAATGTCATTGTAAGTACAGTTTTATAACTTGCATGCATTTTGTGTACTGCTAATTAAGTTAGTAAATTGATTTGACGCACGACTACATTTCCCATCATTCTCTGTTGCAGAATGAGATTTATTTTAAGCATAAAGATTAATACAATTATGAATCTCAATTCTTAAAATAAATAAATCGTACCAAAAACTTTATCATTTATAATACATTGCTACACTCTAAAAAATGCTGGGTTGTTTCAACCCAACTTTGGGTCAAATATGGACTAACCCAACCGTTGGGTTACATTTTTACATTAAATTTTTAACCCAAAAGTTGGGTTAGTCCATATTTGACCCAAAGTTGGGTTGAAACAACCCAGCATTTTTTAGAGTGTACACTAGTGACAAATAATATGCACCATTTTTTCACACAAAATGTCATTGTAAGTACAGTTTTATAACTTGCATGCATTTTGTGTACTGCTTAGTAAAGTTAGTAAATTGATTTGACGCACGACTACATTTCCCATCATTCTCTGTTGCAGAATGAGAATATTATATGAAATTGACCAGCAAGTGCATTTTATTCGGACCAAAAAACCATCAAAATTTTAACTTCTAAACTCTTCTACATGAAGTTCCCAGGAGGACTGCAGCACTGATCCACAGAGAGTCACTTTGGAGGGATTAGTTGCGTTTGACCTGTAGCTTCACTCACCTTCAGTTGCAGACAGCTGTGGCTGTAGGAGCCGAGTGTTTGACCCATCCTCAACCTCAGGCTCAGCTGGGGTCAGGCCTGAGCTCTGCAGGGCTCGTTCCTCGTCCTCATCACACGAGGAGCATCTCTGTGTGGACTCGGAGCCGCACTGGGGGCTGTCTAAGATTGCGCCGGTCTGAACGAGAGGCGCATCATGTGCATATCCCACATCTGCCTGGCTGCTTCCCAGTGATGGATTTACCAATCTGGCAAAAATATGCAAAAAAAAAAAAAAATGCAGATGAGATACAAGAATGTGGTCTTTTATTTTCTCAATTTACACAATACCCAGATTGCTTGTTTAAAATAATGATACCACTCTGAATAAAATCAATCAATCACAAGCAAAGCGTTTATACTTTAGAATAGAGAGAGTCTCAGTCTATGGAAAATGAGAAAATGTAACATAAAAGCCAACTATCATGTTACTTTCTAAAAACAGCAGCAAAATACACAATAATGACATAATAATGTAATTCTGCTTTTTTTTAAAATATTTTTCACCAATAATTCTGTTAATAAACTGGAACTAAAATAATACGTGTGGTACCGTTCAAAAGTTTGTGGTCAGTAAGATTTAAGAAATTGGGGTCAGTAAGAAATTAATTACCATTTTATTCAACAGGGATACATTTAAATAGCCCAAAAGTGACAGTAAAGACATTTATTGTAAAAAATATATATATATATTTCAAATAAATTGTTCTTTTGAATTTTCTATTCATTAAACAATCCTGAAAAAAAAAAATGTATCAAGGTTTTCATAAAAATATTAAACAGTTTTTAACATTGATAATAATCATAAATGTTTCTTGAGCAGCAAATCAGTATATTAGAATGATTTCTGAAGGATCGTGTGACACTGAAGACTGGAGTAATGATGCTGAAAATTCAGCTTTGCATCACAGGAAAAAATTTCATCTTAAAAAATATTCATCATTTAATATCATTAATTGATTAATATTAATTGAATTAATTAATTGAAATAATATCATTAATATCATATAATTTAAACTAATAATTCACAATATTACTGAATTTCATTTTATTAATTAATTGAAATAATATCATTAATATATCATTTAAACTGTAATTTTTTTACTGTACTTTTGATTTAATACGCACATCTTTGGTAAGCATAAGTGACTTATTAAAAAAAAAAACACCAATATTTTGAACAGTAATGTTAAAAATCGATTGAATTTTGTCAGCAATTGTAAATGAATCTGCTGAATTTTTTCAATTCAATTCAAGTTTATTTATATAGCACTTTCCACGATACAAATCGTTGCAAAGCAGCTTTACAGAAAATTAAATTTCTACAATATATTAAGTAGTAGCTTGTCAGTGCTGACTGTCAAATTGATGTACACATGGCAGAAATTAGGGCTGCACGATTGACAAAAATCATAATTGTCGATTATTCCCTTGAAATTGTCATTGCGATTATTAATTACGATTATCACAATTTACATTGAATGATGTTTATACCATTGTTTGATGCAACTGCATGCCGTATTTTTATATGAAAATAAACAAGCTGAAAACACTCTAACTGAAAAACCTTTAGTGCTTTTCTATAGTATTAAGCCTCAAATGTCAAATATACATCGGATTGGTTTCTTCTTTAAATTATAAAAAAGTTAAAATATGAATGGTATTATAATGTTATACTAAAACTAAAACAATGGAAAAACCCTTAAGATAACATGTAGAAAGAAAAAAACATATCTTAAGCGCGCAGAATAACATAAGTGGACTTTGAACGATTAATTGCCACTTTGAACGATTACGTAATTGTGGCATCCATAATTGTAATCGCGATTAGAAATTCGATTAATTGTGCAGCCCTAGCAGAAATGTACGGTAAAATTCAGTTAATGACGCAATCAAACAGACGATGAACACTATTAACATCAATGATTATAATTTGATCTAGATCTGCCAGACTAAAGATCTAAACCTGATCCTTTAACTTCATTTGAATGTGAATGTGTCTGGCTGAAGGACCCACCCTTCATTGAGACCGTTGTGAGAGTGAAAGGGACGAGTCTCTCGGCCACGGCTCTGGCTCCAGGTGTCATCGCAGCACAGAGACGGGATCAGGTGCACAGGACCTGGAAAACAAAGCGCACATGAATCTAATGCCATGACAGTCATCCTTCCTGTGACACTCCAGAACTGTGTGTGATTAATACAATGATCACCTGACAGATAATTACTGGCTAATTGACCTGTTTATCCTCAACAAATCCTCAACACACAGTAAGACTTCTGAAAGGTGTGTGAATGTGAAACTCACCGCAGGTCTGTCCCGATCCGTGACGACAGTGACAACAAGGCCGCTGGGAAAACTCCAGAGCTCTCCGATCCAAACAAGACAACTCGGACCCCACATAAGGACCCTCATGGGACCTCAATGAAACTGAGACAATGACACACGAAACAACAGGAAACGACCGTTATCAGAATTGTGAGACAAAATGTCGCAAAAACTTTTTTTTTTTTTTTTTTATTCAGTGGCGGAAACGGGCTTCCATAAAAATCCTTGTAATGCATGACCTCATGCTTTTAAATAATAGCAGCAACAGTAACATAATAAAAGACGACAGTGTATATTAAATTATTTATATAAATATATTATATGAATTACACTACCGTTCAAATGTTTAAGGTCAGTAAGATACTTTAATTCTGCGAGGATATTTTAAATTGATCTTAAGTGACCTTAAAAACCTTTACATTGTTTCAAAATATTTCTATTTCAAATAAACGCTGCTCTGTTCAAAGAAAATATATATTTTTAAATATATTAAAATATATTGTAGCATTTTCACAATATTAGTGTTTTTACCGTATTTTTGATCAAATAAATGCAGCCTTGATGCATAAGCGACTTCTTTCAAAAAAACATTAAACTCAAACGTTTGAATGTAGTGTAAGTGTAATTATTAATACCAATAATCAAAACTATCCACCAAGAAATATTGTTTATTTGCTGTAGGCAAATTTTATCATCGGAAATTAAGTCAGATCTGTCAGTATCATTCATTACAGTGTCAACTTTTGTATCAACGTGGCAAAATTGTGAGAAAATTGTAAAAAATATTACATTTTAATATTGACTATGCTAACCAGTTTACACAAATAATTAAAAACAGCAGTACCACTGCCATCAAATAAATGCATAAACAAAATGATAGAAAGACTCATATGCTTTCTTACACTGTTTAAAGAAGCTCCCACGTGAATTATGATTTTACAGATATACTAAGAATTGTAGTAATTATGGATGGTATTTGGCATGCATGTAACTAACTACAAAATCATAGTTACCATGATACTGTAAATATTTGTAAGGCGTGATTACAGATACTTTAATAGCACGAATAGAGATCATTTAATAGCACAAATAATACATTTATACAATGTATACCATGTCGCTTATACTATAACACTGATAAGTAATCAGGGGAGAATGCAGATGGTGTGACTCACCTGGTTTCTTCTCCAGCAGTTGTCTCTTACAGTAGATGATGCACAGGATGAAGAGGGCGAGCAGGACGGTGGCCAGCGCACTGCAGATGACCGCAGCTAGAGCCATGTCTCTGGGGCTGGTCACCGCAGGCTGGACAGGTACAAAATCTACTCGCCCCATACCTGACAGATACACAGCAGAGACAGGAAGTGACGTCACTCCATTACTCACTCTCATGCAGATTATCTTCCTTCTGTGCAACACAAAAGGAGATTTCAGACAGAATGTGTGTTATGTGCTTTTACATACAAAAACAAATAGTGACCAGGACCTGTCAAGCTCCAAAAAAAAAAAGAACAAAATGCCACCATAAAAGTGTTGTGAACACCTATTATGGTTCTACTATAATGCTTTTTTAAGAGCGTGACAGGGTCATCCCTAATTTACTTTCATTGTATAAAAAGAGCTGCGTCGACATTCTGCTAAAGTGCTTATTGAAGAAAAATGGTTTGAACTAAATGATTACGACTAAATCAAAAAATATTAAAAAGGGCAATTATCGTTAACTAAAACAAGCTATTTTTGTTCATTAAATAAAATAAAACTATAAATATTAGATTTAAAAAATGAACAAAAATTAGAAATGATGCTTTGTCAAATTGAAGTACTAAATTTACTAAAATAACTGGAAATATATAAAAACTAAAACTGAAACAAATAGCAATATTAAAGGAAAAACTAATAAAAATGACAAAAGCACTTAACAAAATTGCTAAAAATTAAACTGAATTAAACTGAAAATTTAAAAAATAAAAGTTGACTCAAACATTAATAAAAACTATTATAGTATATAAATAATACTAAAATAACACTGCCCAGAAGGCTAAAGGGCCCAATTCAAGAACAAATGGGTGTGAGGTAATTTTAAACAAATCTGGCCAAAAAGAGAGTTTGTTTCTTGAGACTTCTTTTAGAGTTTGTTTCGGTGGGTTGAAACAGCTCGCTGATTTTTCTTTATCACCTAAGTGCAAGCTTTCCAGAAAACTCGAGATCAGACACAGTAAAGAGATCAGAAACAGCAAACCGTTGGCAACTAATTCAAATTTCTGTTTGCCTCTGAGCGAAGAACGTAGAAGAACTTTTCAGTTAGTATGTAAGGGCCTTAAAGGGTTAGTTCACCCAAAAATGAAAATTAGCCCATAAATTACTCACCCTCAAGTCATCTTAGGTGTATATGACTTTCTTCTTTCAGACGAATCCAGTCGGAGTTATATTAAAAATGGTATTTGATCTTTCAAGCTGTTTCA